ATCAAGAAAACAAAGATTCTCACCACTGGGCCAATTGGCAGCATCAATATGGATGATGAAGAGATTGAGATAGTTAACAATTTCAGTTTGCTTGGATCCATAGTCAACACTCTTGGTAACAGCAGCCAGGAAATCAAGAGACAAATTGCTTTGGGAAATTCAGCTGTCAGGCACCTCTAAAGAGTACTGAAAACCAATGATGTCAGGCTCGAGACTGAAGTGTGCCTGATCTGCGCTATAGTCTTCATAATTATGTGCTATGCATCAAAGAGCTGGACAGTGAATAGGGATGATAGAAAGAGAATTGATGCCTTTGAGCTGTAGTGCTGGAGAAGAGTGTTGAATATACCATGGAGTACTAGGAGAACAAACAGGTTTGTTCTGGAGAGGGCAAAGCTGGATTGCTCCTTGGAATCAAGGATTCTGAAGCTTTGCCTGACATACTTTGGGCATGTTACAAGGGGGGACCAGTCCTTGAAGAGGGACATCAGGTTTGGGAGAATGGAGGGACAGCACAAGAGAGGAAGACCCTCGATGAGATGGATCGATTCTGTGATTGGGGTGGTGGGAGTGAGAGTGTCGAAGATAGTGAGGTTGGCACAGGATAGAACAGAGTTTAGGGCTTTTGTACATAGGGGCGCTATGAGTCACAAGCGACTTGACGGCACATAACAACAACAATTCAGTTTACCAAAGACCTCTGGTGGGTTAGTGGCGAAGAGCTACTGCACTCTTAACTCACAGGTCTCCACCAAATGCTCAGTGGGAAAAAGAGGAGCAACTCCTCCCTGTTGAGTTCTGGCTCAGTGATATATGACAGTCACAACTCAATTTACCAGACTCTAGCGTTCTCCAGCACCTATATTTTAGGTAAATGAAAAAGAAAGTAATATCTCCTAGGAAAAAAAGTTTCTATTTGCTTGTTTTTTTAATATGTTGTTCTAGATGTTTTACGTGTTATTTGATACACAGCAACTGTGAGTGGTAGATGACAATGACACCAATTTATAAATAATAGGAAATTGAGAGTCATAAGACTTTGTGACAATTCCATCAATCTTGACTGACAAAAATGACGGCTTGTTTTAGTAAAGGTCCCTAAAATAATATGTTATTTCACAAGACCTCAGTAGTGTTTTATTACAAATAATTAGCCAAAGTTAAGAAAGTGGAAAAGGTCAAATGATAGTAATTACATAATTAAATTTGAAAATTTCATCTCGTTTGGGAAGCCATTCTTACCATAGTAGAAAGGATAAAGCAAGAGAATTTCCTTTCTAATATTTTTGACATTCATGGCTGTAATATGTAAATGACAAGAAATAACCAAATTTTCTTTTTCTTTCTCTCACAGGTTAATACTGTACTGAAAGAATCCAGTGCTTACCAAGCCAGAAAGCTTCCAAATAACAATGAGAGTATTTGCGTATGTGGCAATGAGAGAAAATCCTATGCTTGGATGGTTACTCCCCAAACACTGGGTAAAACTTTCAATTACTCTAAATGTTTATAGTCTTGTAAATCCTCCTAAGAGCTTACATTATTCCATTTCTCCATTATAGCCAGTTTACTCATTGCTTCGTGCCAGCAGCTGCCCATTTTCTATTCCTGTTGTTGCTGTCAGCTGTCATGAAATTGACTGGCAACTCACAGGAAGAAACACTGCCTGAGCCTGTTCGTCACAGAATGGGCTGTACATCAGACTGTCATGTTCCATAGAGTTTTCATGGGCTAATTCAGAGAACCAGGTCACAAGACCTTTTTTCTTTGTCTCAGGGCAGAAGCTCAATCTCTGCTTCTTTGAGTCTTCTGCATCAGGACTAGCCCATTGTAACTGTTCCATTTACATTTCCTGCTATTTAAGGTACTGTGGATGTCACTGTTGCTGCTGAAACACTACAGAACAATGTCTGTGAACAGGGATTCTCTAGGGCTTTGGGCACTGAATGGAGGGATACAGTGATCTATCAGTTGCTGGTTGAGGTATGGCCTCAAAGTGAAACTTGTGGGTTTGGGCGGTGGGGGAGGTGAGGGAATCTGTCTGTGTTTTAAAATATTTACCTTTACAAACAGTTTGGAAATGTAAGCATCTCTTTCATATCTCACCCAGTAGGAAGGAGCATTTATTCAGAGGGACAACATAATATTTCAATCATATATATGGGAAGATATGTCAAGGGTAGTTAGTGCTGAGACATTCAGTCATTAGGGAACATTTATATGTTTATATTTACATTATATGTCAAATTTATAATAACCTTAAAAGAGGAAATTCTCAACTTTTAAGGATTTTTAAGAAAACTCTTGCTTTTAATTTTTGAAGCAATTAGCTTATCTGGTAAGCAAAATCAAATGGTTCAATTCTCTACTTTATTGGGCTTAAAAGTTCTTTTATTCTATTTGAAAGACCTTTTGAAGATTATATATTCTTTTCAAACACTATTAAAAACTTATGAGTAGTCTGAATTTACATAAATTTTCATTACTCTTCTTTTTTTTTTCTTTTCAACTACCAGCCTGAAGGTATTGAAAGAGAGATAACACAAGGATCACTTATTTGTACAAGTGGTAAGTAGTTTTTTTACATTGTCTTGCTAGCACTACAACATTGAATAAAACCTTAGCTTATCTTTGTTTTGCAAGTAATATTTGTTGTTTATCTCTTCCAAAACAGAGCTGCTGGGAAAGGTTACGTTACTTTCAGTTAATTTAATTATGTCATAAGCACAAGCAAATTAGAACCTTGAGTTTCGCTCAATGCTTTTCCTTAATCCCTTAGCTTCTTTAACCTTAGCTTAATCCATATCCTTAGCTTCTTTATCCCTTAGCTTCTCCTTATCCAACCCTTGATATCTCCATTAAAAGTTAGTTATGGGAAAACAGTTCATTTTTATTTACACAAAAATAAAGATGAAAATGCAAAAAGGGGAGGGAAACTGGATGGATGGAAAGAGGGTAACGGTGATGGAAAAAGTTAGAGTGCAGACATAATAACAGAGTAATGTATATATATTTGATTTACTCTAAGGTTTTACCTAAAACACAGTACACTTAAAATGTCTTTTTAAAAGACTACAAAAAGAAAAAGAAAGATAAATGAGATACTGACTAGGCATATCTCTAGAAGCTATGTAGATACAGATATCATATATAATGATATATGAATATGATACATATCATAATATATAATGATGTCATATATAAATGGTATAAAATTATTACGTATATTGTTTTCCCTGGAAGCAAGAGCGGCATCCACTTCCAAAATGGCTTGCCTCCGGAAACTCTATGTACAAACAGTGCTCAGGCTGTTCGTTCATAGGATCGCTATGAGTCATCTACGACTCGACGGCATTAAACAACAACAACAACAACAACAACAACAACATATTGTTTTCAGAGAAATGAGTCTGTACCCTCACTATTTCCATCCCATGTGCCCTCTTTCCATCCATCCAGTTTCCCTCCTCTTCTTTTGTGTACATTATTACCATTTTCTATCATACAGTTGATGTTCTCAAGGACCACATTTCCCATGTTGGTTTACATTTTCTAGGACAAACTATTATTTACTGAAAGATGATCTCCAGGATCATAACTAGCTTTTTACTTTCATAATTAACTTTAATAAAGATCTCAAGAGCTGGATAGGGAGAAACCAAGGAATAGAGAATAGGAGCCAGGAAGAAGGATCAGTAGTCAGAAAACATGGACTTGGTGACAGAAATGAGGCTGAGGAAAGAATTATAGAATTCTGCACAACCAATGATTTATTCATGGCAAATGCCTTTTGTAATAAACATAAACACATGTCTATACACATGGATTTCACCTGATTGGATTCACAGGAATCAGATTGATTACATCTGTGGATGGAATTGTTGGGGAACTTCAATACCAGCAATGAAAACTAGGCCAGGTGCTGATTGCAGAATAGACCATCATCTACTCATATCCAAGTTCAAATTAAAGCTAAAGAAGGTCAAATCAAATCCTCAAAGACCAAAATTTCATCTTGAGTCTATCCCACCTGAATTTAAAAAATTTTTAAGCCTTGAACACTTGTTTTAAGCCTTGAACACTAATGAATGAAGACCAGATGAGCTGTGGGAAGATAGCAAGAATATCACCCATGAAGAATGCAAAAGGTCATTATAAAGACAGAGGAAGAAGAAAGGACCAAAATTGGACTATAGTGCTGACAAGCCAAAGCAAAGGGAAGAAATGAAGATGTTAGAGTGCTGAATAGAAGATTTCAAAGGCAGTTCGGAAAGACAAAGCAAAGTATTATAAAGAAATGTGCAAGGAGCTAGAGTTCAAAAATAAAAAATCTTGTTCAGCATTTCTTAAGCTGAGGGAACTAAAGAACACATTCAAGCCTCAAGTTGCAATACTTAAGGATGCTATGGGCAGAATATCGAATGATTCAGGAAGCATGAAAAGAAGATTAAAAGAAGGAATATCCAGAGGTAATGTACCAAAAAGAGGTGGCTGACATAGAAGAATTTCTAGAAACAATGTACGATCAAGAGGCAATAGTGATGAAGGGGATGTTTAGGTTGTTCCGAAGAGTTTGCAAAAAAGAAAATCCCAGGCATTGATGTAGTATCAATTCATATATTTCAACAAAACAGCGGCTTCCCTGAATATGCTCACCAGGTTGTGCCAAGAAATCTGGAGGACAGCTACCTGGCTAATTAACTGAAGAGATCAATATTTTTTTTTTAAAAAAAGATTACTCGACAGAGTATGGAAATAATTGAACAATATCACTAATATCACACACAATAATAAATAAATATTTAATATCAATAAAGAACTATCAGAAATACAAACTGGGTTTAGAAGAGATCATGGCACTAGAGACATTATCGCCAATAATACATGGATCTTGGCAGAAAGTAAAGAGTACCAGAGAAATGTCTATCTGCATTTTATTGACTATGCTAGGGCATTTGACTGTATGGATCACAATAAATTGTGGCTAACCTTGAGGAGAATGGGAATCCCAGAACACTTGATTGTGCTCATGTAAAATCTATGCTCAAACAAGGAAGCAGTCCTCAGAAAAGAGCAAGAAAACACTGCATGATTCAAACTCAGAAAGAAGTGTGTCAGGATTGCATCCTGTTTCCATACCTTTTCAATTTAAATGCAGAACAGACTGTTCAGAAGGCTGGGCTTTATGAGGTGAAATGTGAGATCAGGATTGAAGAAAGCCTTAACAATCTACTTTATGCAGATGACACTACTTTGCTTGCTAAAATTGAGCAGGAACTGAAGGGTTTGCTGCAGAAGGTCAAGGACTATAGTCTTTAATTTGGATTGAAGCTCAACATCAAGAAAACAAAAATTCTTACCACTGGGCCAATTGGCTGCACCATGATGTATGGAGAAGAGATTGAGGTTGTTAACAATTACAGCTTGCTTGGCACCACGATTGACACTCTTGGCACCAGCAGATGGAGAAGAGATTGAGGTTGTTAACAATTACAGCTTGCTTGGCTCACAATCAAACTCTTGGCACTAGCAGTCAGGAAATCGAAAGATGAATTTCACTGGGAAAATCTACTGTCAGGGACCTCTCCAGAGTACTGAGAAGCATTGATGTTAGTCTAGAGACTAAGGTGTGCCTGATCCAAGCCATGGTCTTTGCAATTACTTGCTATGCATTAGAGAGCTGGACAATGACTAAGGACAGCAGAAGAAAAATTGATGTCTTTGAGTTGTAGTGCTGGAGAAGAGTGTTGAACATACCATGGGCAGCCAAGAAAACCAATAGGTTTGTCTTGGAGAGGGTGAAGTCAAGTTTCTCCTTGAAAGCAAGGGTTTTGAAGCTCTGTCTCACATACTTTAGGCACAAGACCAGGAGGGATGGGTTCTTGGAGAAGTACATCATGCTTGGAATGGTGAAGATACAATGCAGGAGAGGAAGACTCCTGATAAGATGGGTTGACATAGTGACCGGGGAAATGGGGGTAAGTGTCAGTGAGACTGGCTTAAGATAGGGCAAGGTTCAGAGATGTTGTATATAAGGTTGCTATGAATTGCAAGTGACTCAACAGCAAATAACAATAGCAACAACATAAAAAGGTAAATTAATCATAAAATGGGCAGACACCTTGAATAAACATTTCACCAAAGAAGACATTGGAATGTAACAAAGAATATATTGAAACCCACTAAATGGTGCTAATCATCATTTGCCATCAGAGGGATGGCACAATGAGATACCATTTCACAGCCACTAAAATGGCTGCAAAGACAGGGAAGAAAGAAAAAAAAAACCTAGATGTCAGAAAAGGCTCTATAGACTGCACTAGAATGTCAAAAAAGCCAAAACAAAGGGAAGAAATGTTGAAATAAACAAGATTAACAGAAGATCTCAAAGAATAGCTCAATAGGACAAAGCAAAGTATTGTAATGAAATGGACAAAGAGCGGGAGATAGAAAATAAAAAGGGAAGAGCTCACTCAGAATTTCTCAAAGTGAAAGGATAGAAAAATAAATTCAAGCCTCAGGTTGCAATAGTGAAAGATGCTATGGACAAAATCTTTAATAATCCAGGTAGATGGAGAAAACATACAGAGTCACTGTACCAAAATGAATTGGTTGAAACGGAATCATTTCAGAAAGTAGAATATGATCAAGAACCAACGAAGAAATTAATGTAGTTAATGAATTAAATTTATTTCATTAATTAATAAATTTAAGCTGTCCTGAAGGAAGGCCCCAGGAATTGATGGAATATCAAATGACACGTTTTAACAAACAAATGCAGCCTTGAACATGCTCACTAGGCTGTATGTAGAAATCTGGAACACAGTTCCAATGCTAACTGACTGGAAGAGATCTGTATTTGTTCTAATTTCCAGAAAAGGTGTCCAACTGAATGTGTAAATTAACAAAAAATATTATTAATACCACATATAAGCAAAATCTTGCTGAAGAGTAACTAAAACCAGCTAGAACCAAACATTAACAGACATTCAAACTGCATTTTTGGGTGTTGGTATTTTTTCCCATTTTCTAATTATTTAACTTTTTTATTATTAATTTTTATTCATTTAGTGTTGTACATTTTCCTCCCTCCTACTTCCTTCCCCCTTTCCCACATTTCTCCTTCCCTTTCTATCTCCCTTCCCATCCCTTTGTCTTATCATTCCCCTAATCCACTTTGTAATGCATGTCTTGCTCTAGATTATTGTCATACATATAATGTTCAACCATTTATTCCTTAAAGACAGTTCTGCCCCTCCTCTGTTCCAACGCAGTGTTCATTATCTATCCACTCTTTTCCCTATTTTCCCCCAACTCCCTATGTTGGTCCTGTCTTATTAAAACCATGCTATGCAGTATTTATTTGTCCTTTTGTGACTGAGATATTTCATGCAACATAAAGTCTAAGCTCACCAGTGTTGTGTAATGCTTTACAAGTTCATTGTTTTTCAAGGCTGTGTAGTAACATTTCAATCTATTCATTTGTTGATGACCAAGCTGCATTTAAAAGAGACCATGCACAACAGATATCATTGTCAATGTATAATGATCTGAAAGCAGAGAATGTCAGAAGGATATCTGTGTTTTATTAACTATTCAGTGTCATTTCATTGTATAGCTCACAACAAACTGGGGATAACATTGAAAAGAATCAGAATCCCAGAACACTTAATTGTGCTCATACAAAACCTATATCTAGACCAAGAAGCTGTTGTCCGAACAAAGGAATATTTGAATAAGGGAAAACTCCATGTAAAATCAGGAAAGGTGTGTGTCAGAGTTGTATCCTTTCTCTATATCTATTTAATCTGTATATTGAATAATAATTCAAGAAGATAAACTTTACAAAGAAGAATGTGGCATCAAGATTGGAAGAAGACTCACCAAAAACCTACATCATAGAGATGTAATGATCTTGCTCGCTAAAAATGAGGAGAACTTAAACACTTTTTACAGAAGCTTAAAGACTATATAGCCTTCAATACTAAGTACATCTTAACATCAAGAAATGAAAATTCTCACCACTGGACCAATAGGCAGCATCATGATAGATGTAGAAAAGCCTGAAGTTGCAAATGATTTACTATTTCTTGGATCCACAATCAATACACTTGTACCAGCAGTCAAGAAATTAAAAAAATGTGTTTTGTTGAGAAAAATCTGCTGTCAAGGACCTCTCCAGAGTGCTAAAGAGAATACAGTCAGTTTAAAGACTAATATGCACCAGATATAAGCCACAGTCTTTTGAATTGTTTGCTATGTATCTGAAAATTGGACATGTATAAGGAAGATAGAAGAAGAATTTATGCCTTTGAGTAGTAGGGTTGGAAAAGAATATTGAATGTCCCATTGACTGTCAAAAGAACAAACCTATATGTCTTTGAGAAAACACAAGCCATGTGCTCCTTAAAGCTAGGATGGAGGAACTTTGGCTTACATACTTTGGGCATGTGTTTAGGAGAAACTAGTTCTTGTGGGGGGGGGGATAGTATGCTTGGAAGGGTGGGGAGGTCAGTGAAAGGGTAGGAGATCCTCAAGAAGAGTATTGACACAATGACTGTAACTGTGGGTCAAGTATGTTGGAGATGATGAGTATGGTGCGGAATAGGGCAGGATTCAGATCTATAGACCCATTGTTCATAGGGAAACTATGAGTCATACTAAATCACCCTTAACAATAGGATGATTTAATATTTGGTGGGGGGAACATAAAGAAAATAACAACTGTTGGTGAGATTGTAGTGAAACTGGAATCCTTATTCCCAGCTGGTGGGAATGTAAAAAGGCAGTTGTAGCAAATGGTAGTGGAAAATTGTGGCAGGTGTTAAAATATATATTGAACTCTGTACCATTGGGGTGCCAAATGTAATAATGGTTAACCATGGTGGACAGTGTTTATTGGAGCTCCCAGATTAAGACATGTTTGGAAGCAGGAGTGGCATTCACTT